CACAGCGGAGGATAGCACTGCTTTGAGGGACGACACAACCGGCGCGGATTACACCCCCCGTCCGCGGAGTCACGGGAACGACACTGCCGTGTCCGCAGCCGGAGGCGAGGACGAGTCGAGCGACTTCCAGCATCACCGGCACGACGAGTCGGTGCTCTCGGACGACGGCGGTACTCTTACTGGGAGCACGCCGCGCCCGCCAGCAACGAAATCAATGTCCATCAAGCCGCAGTTCGCGGGGCTAGGGTCGCCGTACGAAGTCCTCAGGCGAGAGATGAAGAAAGAAGCCGGCTCCGGCGCCGCATCCCCGTCCCGAGGGGGCGCCGAGGACGACGAGTCCGACACAGAGCTTCTCTTCCAGCAACACACGGCTCGTTTGCCGGACATGTCCATGACGCCTCGCTCATCTCTCCCCGGGGGCGCATCAGCCTCCCACCCCGACGACGAGTCCGCCTTCCTCTTCTCCGGCCAGAAATTCAAGCCCCAAGACCCGCTCATGCACCGCGTGCTGGACAAGAACTACCGCCTCATGGCGACGCCGCTCAAGGGCAACTCCGGCGTATCACCCATCCGGTGGCGCGTGACGGAGAACAAGAAAGACGACACCACCCTGCTGAACAAGGGCAAAGAGCCCGAGGCGACCAAGCCCATCTGGGCCGACAGCCCCATGTCCTCGCCCGAAATCGCCATGCCCAAGCTGCGCTCCGAGGCATTCATGTCGCCCGTGCGACCGTCGGCGTACAGACACAAACTAGCCGCCGCCACGGCCGCGCCGCGGACACCCGGTGTGAGCGTGCAGACGCCGGCTACCAGTCGGAAGACGAGGGATGTCTATGCCACGAGGACCACCCCGAGAGCGGAGGAGAAGGAGACGGATGAGATCACGTGGGAGAGCAGCGGCGACGAGGACGATCTGGATATGTATGGGGGAATGAGCCCGCCCAAGACGATCCAGTTCGCGCTGCCGCCTTCCAAGCTGCTGCAGACGCCTGGTAAGATACTTCGCTGAGGTGATGTGGTTGTGTCTGGAATGTTTACTGACGGTTTGACTAGCGCGGGAGGCCAGCAAACGGATCGTGGAGGACATCCTCATGACGGCGGGCGCTGAGCCGGACGAGGATGGGGAGTACAGTCCTACTATGGTCAAGATAGACCACGATATCTTGGACGACACTTTCTAGTCGTCTTGTACTGGACGGGGGTGGGAATGTAGGCATAACGCGAGGATAAGGACTGGGCTCGGTGTGTTGAGTAGGAGATATACCCCTTTTTCTTGATGTGTGCGCTAAAGTAGATGTCTAATAAATAGCATCGTCTGATGGGAAAATTCATCCAAAAAGATTAGCCAGTCCTTGTTTTCCGACTGGAGGCAAGAATCGAAAGTCTAAACAAAAATAGCTGCGTCCCTCATACTTCATCTGATATCTCGTCATGTGCGCGCAATTCCTCCTTGGCCACTCTTTGACCATTTCATCTGTCTATTCCCGTCATCAGCCCTCCCTCGTTCCAGCCACCATACCACCATGAGGTAGAAGACCATGTTCCCGCGCTCGCCCTTCCCCCCGAGCCGCGGGTTCCTCCCTGAGACAGCCATGTTGGCGACAGGGCGCGCGGCAGTACGTCTGCAACCGAAGGTCGCAGACACCTGCTCGCTTTTCGAGTCCGGTCTGTCAGGTGTATCGGCTCGGCGCTGAGTCAGGTTTTACTCCTGACGTGGTGGTGTCAGAGCCAAAATTCTGTTTCACCTCTTGCCCCATCGGGAGAGACAGAGAGAGGCTTCAAGCGAGAGAGCCCGCCTAGCCGACGATATTCACCTGGTTGCGCAGTACCTTTTTCTGTACGCTCGCGGCATGCGTCTTCTTCTTATCGGCAGAGGATGAGGAGGAAGAAGAAGAGGAGTGGTGGAACTTGTTCTTGAGCAGGCCGATGGAGCTGCCGAAGCTGGAGACGGAGGCGGCGTCGGAGTCCATCTTCTTCTTGGAGGGCTTCTTGGGCTCGGAGCTGGCGACGTGCGTGTGCTCGGCTTTGCTGGCCTCGACGATTTGGGCTGCCAGGGACCGGTCGTTGGGGAAGAAGGGGTTGTTGAAGTGTGATTCAGGGGCCATTGTTGATGTTGGTTTGGGGGGGTACCGGTGTGTGTTGTTGGTGTTATGATGAGCGATTGGGGTGGTATAACACGATGTTTGTGCCGGGTTGATGTGTGTAGATATAGTTCTTGGATATCTTGGTGGTCAAGACGTATAAGCCAAAGCGGGTAAGCGATGTTCAGAGCCAACGGGTTGAGGTAGTGTGTATAGTTGGTGCCTTGTGGAACTGGAGAGAATCCGATATCAAATCTTGGTGCCTGAAACTTCCGTGTGTGTAACCTGGAAGTTGTGATCTTGTTGACTGATGCCTGGTGATGTGCAGATTCCTTGATGTGAAGTTGATGCCTTCTGGTTCCTGATCGGAAAGGCAGGACTTCTACCTTCTACTTATACCAAACTGGAATATATCAGGGTAAGCGCCGCGGCCTTCATGCGGATTTCCACGATGCCGCATGTCCAAACCCGCAAGGATGGATTTCCACAATCTGGGTGACGCTAGAATTTCCCAATTCGAGGTCATGATTGCTAGGGGTCAGACATAGCCTTCGTCGACATGCGTCTACACGTGAGTCATCTGGCGCTTCATTTTCAGACCATTGACGCTGGATTCATCACCAGAAGGTCAGTCATCAAGCTAGTGTGGTGTGTCGTCAGGAACCGGACTACCCGACGGTACGAACGCATCGATGATCCTAAGCTTAATCCGTCCTCATCTTACGCTGACCTTACCTTAAAGTTCAGAAGGAGGCGGTGGCAGGTTACGTGTATTGTTGGTGCGATGCGGCTCCCCTGGCCTGTGTTACGCACTTCTTACTTTCATCTACGACAGCTTTGAAGTTTAGAACCTGATAGGGTAGGGCGGTGCTAAGTACTTCCCGTTTTGGAAACAGGGAGCGCCTTCGATCGTGACTACCCCATCCTGAGTCACTTCTGCATGCAGAGTCGCCAGTTCCAATTGAGTTAAGCTTAATACCGTGGAATTGGAATGTTCTGTCTGGGCATAGTTGGAGGCGTAAGGCATTTCTTCACAGCCCTGTTAACTAAGCCGTCTCATGACGACGTCCCTGTCGGGCAACTGCGAAATGCCCTGCCCTAAGACGAAAAATCCCATGAAGGATGCAGCCACCCGCTTGATCCTACCTCGCGATCTTGTGGTCTTCGTATTTCGGTCAAAGTGGTCATTCGGCAGGTTATCTGTCTGCATTGACTACGTCGTGTCGATACTGGTCTGCCGCGACATCTTCCGTGTTGGGGTCCGTTGCACCACCATATAGTAAGGACGGGATTCGGACCCAGCTCCGGGTCCGGCATCCGAGCACTGCCGTGTGCCATTATTCCAGTCTCTTTCTGATCATGTGCCCTTCCAAATAATGGTCTCGTAGCTGCTCGTCATTCTGCCTCGTCTTAAAGTGTCGGTTCCTAAGAGACGGTTGGCTTGGGCTTTTTGCCAAGATGTCGTCGTAAGTCTTGTGGAAACTCAAGCTAAGGTACCAGCTGCAGGTGAGCGGCGGTAGGGCCGCGTGTAATATCGTGGACCGGACTCCCCGCGACTGCTGGTTGTCGTCACCGGCTTGTTCTCCGTCTTTCCGTGGAGGCGGCCGCTCAGGTCTTACGCTACGTCCTCGAATATGGTTTGCTTCTATACTTATTGACGGAAACAAATTGGAGAGAAAGATATCTTTTCCACGACTTCCATGGTCCGCCCTGCCGGCAACAGTAAGCTTACCAGAAGTCCACCGGATTGCTTATACATGGCGATCTAAATATACCAACGAGCCTGATAGCGACTGTTGAGGTGAAACCGTCGCTTCGAGCTTCGTCGAGCTCACTCAGAGAGCCTCGGACCTTACTTGGCACCACTCTCCGGGAATGGGCATTATCAGCAAGGACCGTACCTTCGGCCGCACCACATGCGAATCCCGCCCCGTCCGGAGTGATATGCGAGCATGAGAACCAGCACGCTCACATGTAACAGATGCCGCTCTGATAAGGTAGCTATGTGTCGGGTCTAAAGTGCGAAGTAGCTGTAGTTGAGGCTTGACCGGTAGCATTGTCACATACCGATCCTATTTGATATTGCCGTTGTGGTATATACTCCATGCCGCCATATCCCGAATCCAACCCGCACGTTGGAGGTTAGCACGGCACCGTGAAGCTATAAGCACTTGCCTGACACTTCAGTACTGGTACATCAAGCATGGCCACTCGCCGCTTCTCCCGCCGACTCGGCCTCGAATCAAATCCGCAAACTTCATATACCGGATCATCCGCAGGGTCTGCCACGTACGACCACAGGTACTGGAGAACTCGGGATCCCGTCCGCTCTCCCATCGATAAGCCAGTAACCGACAGACTAGTACTCAGGTGGGTGACCACTGGGGAATCCCTGTTGTTGTACGTCTTCTTTTGCTTTTGCAACGTCCCTCTTATTCTTGACTCGCGTGGCGGAGTCGAGCCATATCACACCGCCGAACGGGGCCGGTGTCAACAACCCCTTGTGGTGTAGTTGGATATCACGTTCGGCTGTAAATGTTATTTGTTACCGAAAGGTCACCGGCTCGATTCCGGTCGAGGGGAATCTCCTTTTTTGCCCATCATGACATGTTCATGGTACATACCATTTGGTGCTGATAGACAGTATCCATTGCAAGGTGCCGGCTTGACGCCGAGAGACTCAACCGATACGGCTCAACTTGAACAATACGCCCGACCTGAACCCATGGATAGTGCCATTTCTTTTGTGTGGGTTGAGATTGGACCCGTTGAGGAGGTGCTTTCCTCTTCCTCACCCCGGAGCGGAGCAGAATGACTCGAGGTCCTCAACTCGAACGATGCAGCCCAACTATCGTCTCCAAACCGCGACATCCGCGCATGCACATAAGATCTTCCACGATGCCCTTGCCAGCACCATCTGGTTGTATGGTGTAGAGGTTAGCACTGTGGATTCTGACTCGCTCAAGTTGGAACTTCCACCGACCCCGGTTCGAGTCCGGGTACGACCTGAACGTATGATGTCTGCGTTTATAGTTTTGTGGAATAAGACAACAGTACGTCTTGAACTGTTGTAGCGTGAACCTCACGACGAGGTGCTCATGGATAAGACGGAACGCAAGTGGAGCGGGAGAAACGTAGATCTGAACTGGACAAATCTCAGAGCCTTGCTCCGAGGAGATGATATGCGTATGAGATACAACAGTGACGAAGACTTATTAAACCTGAACTTCGACCAGCTGGTTGACCCTTTGGATGATTCGTTTTGGCGCCTGGATATTGCTCAAGACCGAACATATGTAGATGGTACCTTAGGAACAGTACCTTGCACATACAAAGATCGTTGAGCCGTACGGAGGCCTAAACGACATGAAGGCATGACACACACACTTGTCTAGTGCTGGTTCTCTATGACGACGACAACAAATGTGAACTTTGATATGTATCATCTGCTTCTTTGAAGTCGTACACAATTCCATGCGCCCATTGGCATTTGCCAATCGGAGCTTTGAAGATTGTGAGCGGAGCATTTAGCGCGGGGCAGCTCTTGGACCCTGATGAAAAGTGCAGTGCGCAGACGTATTCGTATTCGAGTTTCGCTTTGAAGATTCGCGAGACAGGCGGTGAAGGCGGAGCTTGTTTTTCCCCTGTCAATTGACCAATCATATGAGCATCGTCCCTTTCACGTTGTCCAATGAGAGGCAACCTCCTGTGCTTCTGAAGCTGCCGAATCGATGAAACGACGCAGCACTTCCCAATCAGCGTATTTGAGCAGATCCGGATCTGCTTTCTGCTTTGGACCCCTCAGTCTTGTGAAGTTGTGCATCAGGAAGACCCTGGAGGGAGCGAATCGTGCTCCGTCAGTGGTCGGTGTTATGGCGGGAGAGACGCCATGCTGTGTCCGGCATAGCTCCCGGATGGAAGCTTGCCGATATGCTTGAGTGGCGTGTCTTATCAGTGGCCGCCTGGGCCAGGAACCCGGAAATTGTTGTCGGTCTTATTAGCGCAAAGAAATTTCGCGGCCCTGTTTAACAGCAGTTTGGTGATGCCAGATGGTACCACTGGGACAAAATATGTGCTGTTGTTAGAACACGCAGTCGTGTACACTGTGGATGTGATTGTAAATCAGCGAGTCCGTACTATGGTAGATCGAGTCGAGGTCTCTGATTCTATACAACATGCCCGTTAGTGGCTGCTCGGACTATGAAAAAACGCTATTAGGTAGAGCCCAACTGGTTGCTTCGTTCCGGGCTGGCAATAACTTGCACTGTTCGGCGTACCTTGCTGGTATAAGCACTCTACCGCCCGGTACCCCGTACCCACATCTCCAATCTCCTATCCATACTTGGATCCTCCCGTCTTTCTTTCCTCCATTTTTCGGATTTCCAGTGTTCGATAAACAATTGCGCGTCCGCCTTTGGTATTTTGGTTCACCTCGGACGCTGACCGAATTTCCCGTCCTTCCCTTTGCGGCCTGTTGCCGTTGTCTCATTAACAACAGCCATGGAGAACGCAACAAGTTTCACATCGCCTCTGGCGTCCGTCAAGTATGCCGCCGTGAATGTCCCATGGCAGGTAGACTACGTCGTCGACGCCGTCTCCAATGCCAGCACCTGGCAGATTGTCTTGACCATTCTAGCGCTCCTTGTCGCGTATGACCAATGTATGTCTTTCCCCCATGGAGAACATGAAAACACGACGGATCCGACTGGAGAGGAAAACTAACCGAAATCGACATCAGACTCCTATATCTGGCGCAAGGGCTCGATCGTAGGGCCGATGATGAAGGAGCCCTTCATTGGACCTTTCCTGCAATCCGTCAACCCAAAATTCGAAGAATACTACGCGAAATGGTGCAGCGGCCCCCTCAGCTGTGTCTCCGTCTTCCACAAGTTCGTCGTTATCGCCTCGACCCGTGACATGGCCCGCAAAGTCTTCAATGCGCCCGCCTACGTCAAGCCCTGCGTGGTCGACGCCGCATACAAGCTCCTCGGAGCCGATAACTGGGTGTTCCTCGACGGCAAAGCTCATGTCGACTTCCGTAAGGGCCTGAACGGTCTCTTCACACGCAAGGCGCTGGAGGCCTATCTGCCAGGCCAGCACGAGGTGTATGAGATATACTTCAAGAAGTTCCTGAAGGAGACCGAGGATGCCGGAGGCAAGCCGGTTCCGTTCATGCAAATGTTCCGCGAGGTGATCACTGCCGTGTCCTGCCGTACGTTCGTCGGACACTATATTTCGGATGAGGCTGTCAAGAGGATTGCGGATCACTATTACCTTATCACCGCTGCCATGGAGCTGGTCAACTTCCCCATCATCATCCCCTTCACCAAGACCTGGTACGGCAAGAAGGCCGCCGACATGGTGCTCGCCGAGTTCGCCAAGTGCGCGGCCAAGGCCAAGGTCCGCATGAACGCTGGCGGCGACGTTACCTGCATCATGGATGGCTGGATTAAGCAGATGGTCGAGTCGAGGAGATGGCGCGAGGCTGAGGCGAACGGCACCTTGACCGAGGATATGGAGAAGCCCAACCCTCTGCTCCGCGACTTCACCGATTACGAGATCGCGCAGACCCTCTTCACCTTCCTCTTCGCCTCGCAGGATGCCACCAGCAGTGCCTCCACATGGTTGTTCCAGGTCCTGGCCCAGCGCCCCGAGATCCTGGATCGTGTCCGTGAGGAGAACCTCAAGGTCCGCAATGGCGACGCCCGTGCGCACGTCAACCTGGAGCAGCTCGAATCCAGCACCTACACTCGTGCGGTCGTCAGGGAACTCCTCCGCTGGCGTCCTCCTGTCATCATGGTTCCCTACCTGGTCAAGAAGGATTTCCCCATCACTCCCGATTACACCATCACCAAGGGTAAGTGTTTTGTCTCCTGCCCAGGATGTTACCCGCCACCAAGCTGAGAGCTGAGTACTGATCAAATTCTTAATAGGTTCCATGGTCGTGCCAACGACGTATATGGCTTTGAGGGATCCTGACGTATACGAGAACCCGGATGAGTTCGACCCTGAGCGGTACTATAGTGGCGACGCCGAGGAGAAGGGTGCCAAGAACTACTTGGTCTTCGGTACCGGACCCCATTACTGCCTCGGACAGCACTATGCGCAGCTGAATCTTGCTCTGTTCATCGGAATGGCCTCGATGCTCCTGGACTGGAAGCACCACGCCACACCGTTATCCGAGGAGATCAAGGTGTTTGCGTGCATTTTCCCCAAGGTGAGTCGAACTCGTGAAAGAGAGGTCGAACTTTGGACATCGTCACTAACCGTGTAATGTACCAGGACGACTGCCCGTTGACTTTCACTGAGCGGAAACTGTAAGACTTATATATATAAGCCAGCAATCGCATGGCTCAGTTTAAGCTCAAATATGCTCGGATGGACCAATGCGCTGTGCAGGATGCAGATGGTGGTCGCGTCCCAGGAATTCAGCTGCTGACGGCACCAAGGATCGCATCGTATAAGATTCCCCTTTGGGTTTAGAGGGGCCGCCGATTGGTGAACATATGGTCGCATTCGCGAAGGGAGCAACGCTTATTCGGATTCTCGACGCTCAGCCGTCTCGCTTTCTTGAAGAGTCGGAGCATTGGAGTTTCGAATGGGCTGATGGCGCTTATTAGACAAATCGTAATAACTGTAATGACTGTATATAGCTTTTGTTGGGCACATCTGCCTGACACTTAATTGAGAACGTTCAAAACTTGTTGCTTGACGATGACAGAAAGGAAAAGGTCTGGAAGGGTGGACAAGAGCGTCACTCCATGTCGTTCAGCTCGGCTACCCGAGTTACTTGTTTAGCACAACATGACCATGACGACACAGCCGAGAGACCAGGGGCGCATCGCCGTGTCACCCAGTACCACTGTATACACAACCATTCGTCATAAAGCCCTCTAGGATCTTCAAGCTTGATTAAACTCGCCGTCCTAGGCATAAGAATTCTTCGGATATCAGAGCTATAATGAGCAAACCTTCTCGTATAGGAGCAGCTCGAAACCCAAAAACAGATAGACGAGGTGTCCACACGCAGGGTTAGGGTTTAGCATGGTCTCCAACGACAAGCTCAGCTCGGCTTAAGGCGCAGCGACTTTCGGACTCAACAACCGCAGTGACGACATTACACTCAGGCAAACAAGATGGCCTCGCGACGCACAGTAACCCAAGTCCTACGGGCAGCGTCCCGGATACACCTTCAACAGCCCGTTGCGACTGTCCGCCACCGCAGCACTATTGTTCAGCAGTCACCATTCCTCACGAAACCATCATCGTCGCAGCTCCTGCTCCGGACCACCGTCCGCGCATATTCCCAAGCAAGCCAGGAGAGCAAGATATGGAGCTTTGAAGAAATTCAAAAGCTATCCCAGGAAGCAAAGCCAAGCGTGACGATCATTGGTATGCATCACTCCCTTCCGGACCTATCTCACCCAAACTAACGATACCACCACCCAGACGTCCGCGAACCCGGCGAGCTGCAACAAACAGGCCACATCCCGCATGCAATCAACATCCCCATCAACTCGGCGCCGGACAGCTTCCACATCACGCCCGAGGAGTTCGAAGACCGGTTCGGGTTCCCCCGCCCCGCCAAGGACGCCGACGTCGTCTTCTACTGCAAGGCCGGCGTGCGCAGTAGGGGCGCCGCCGGGATCGCGCGCGACGCTGGGTATACCAAGGTCGGCGAGTATCCGGGCTCGTGGCTGGATTGGTTCGAGAAGAATGGCAAGGTGGAGAGGTAGAACGGAACGAGGCAGAATAAAAGTGATAATTGCTTTAGAATTTGCTCTAAAGATTGCATGCATGATATGGCGCGAGCCCAAGCCTGCAAGTTGCTAGTGATACATGGGGTAATGCTAAAGGTAAAAGACTCCCATAAGCCACGAGCTCCACGAACATCATAGGCTTTCCCCAATGGGATTCAATATCAGTCTTCCCAGTGAAAAGCATCCTCAATCCAATCCTTCAACCACGCCCACGTCGATCTAGAACATCATCCCAGGCGGCTTCTCCT